AGCATTTTTTTGCAGGGGTGGGTGGTAAGAGGAATCAGTGAACAGGTCTTACATGGGAATCATTTTACCCTTCGGTAGGAGGAGAGAGGGCAGGTGCTAAGCTGAGGTCCTGCCACACAGAGCAAGACATCAGTAGAAAAGGGAGTTGTTCTTTCCATTTCTAAATTCTTTCAGTCAGATTCCACCTGAATCATCTTATCCAATTGCCTCCCTAAATCTGAGTGAAGAACAAAAGCGAAGATACAAATTTAGGAGAGGGAATGTAACCGTATATGCCTGCCTTCATCACGAAATAAGCTTTGTTAAGCCAAGCTTATCCTTATCCCCAAAGCTTCATAACCCTTTTTGGTCTGTGTAAGTATATTTGCTGCAGCTTCATTGACATTCCTTATCCGTACAAAGAGCCACCAAGTTGGCATCCTTCAAACCTTTCAGAGAACCCACGGGGTAGAAAGTCTGGAGTCTCCTAATCACCAGGAGTCAGGAAATACTCACGAGTTGAAGGTGGGAAAGAGGTTGATGGAAACCCATTTGGAAACGAGTTAAAGGAGGCAATGATTAAAATTATCCAAGAGGAGAGGGAGAGAAAAGCTGAGAAGTGAAAGGAAAATAGGAGAGTTGTGTAACATGAGAACAAGAAAGTAAGATTCCTGACATTCTTCCTCCTTTTACAATAAAGGATTGTCCACATTTCTTATTAAAAAAGCCTAAAATCATCAAGCATGTGAAGTGTTTGACGATGGAAGGAGACAGACTCAGAGTGTCCATTACCAATTTGAGAGAGAAGCTTGTTGTGAGAAGTGACTCTGCTTAGTCAGTTGGAAGAGCTGAAGGGAACGGTGGCTTGAAGAAGGGACTTGGTGTTTGGAATAGAAAGAGAAGGAATATAAGTGGTGTAGTTCTCTCTGCACATCAATTTTAAGAATCCTCTGGAATATTGCATTTCACTCTGATAACTTAAAACCAGATAGACTTCCAGACATATGACCTAGATCTTCAACCTTATTTGCACATTTTTATGCTTACTCTTACCTGTTAGATGACAGAAATGGTGGATCCAGGAGACCGGCTTTGGTTTGACTTTTTTTTCAAAACTGCTTTTTAGTAGACGTTGGGCTTTTGATTATGTTTTTTCTCAAAAGCCTCTGGTTTCTTTGAAATTTTGACCATTCAGAAAGGTAATGCCTTGAAACAAATATTTGTTTGACAGGCTGACTAATTGTGAACGTAAAGTTACATTAAGTCCCTGAATTAAGGCAAAGGAACTTGGAGGATGCAAATACAGCTGGGTATACATGCTAGACAATATCAAGGGGTTTAGTTCCCATTATTTCAATTAGAATTAAACATTGAATTACTAGGAGAAGCTGGGCATGGGATTGCTGCAGAATAAAAAGCATGCTGCATTACTCTGCATGACACACTATATTTACACGAGCACAGTTTGACCCCTAACAACTGTCAGGGACTGTGCCACATTTCTTTTGCTCTTTTGCTTTACCCGTATAAAAAAACCCACTACTAGCAGAATCTCAGCATAAACTCCTGAAGCAAGCAGGATTCTGCAAACTATTTCCCCAATTTCCTTGTTTCTTCCAGGTATTCCAGACTGCACATACTGTCTTTTAGGGAACATTACAGTTATGAAAAACATGATGAATAAGATTACAGTCTCCAGAAGACTGGTTAAGCACAAAGCCTGGATTTCAATCTTCTTAGTCTCTGTCATCTAAGTTTTCTGTTGAACAAGCTTTCGCTGAGCAGGTTTTATTCTCCTTCTATACCAGTGTTACAGCTGGGGCAATTCCAATTATTACTCATTAAGATCAGAGTATTAGAGACCTCAGTATTAGTGCGAATGCAAAACGAAGTGGCTGGCCAACTTCTCATCGGGTGTTACCCTGACCCATGTTAGAATTTGATAAAGGTAAACCAGCTTAATTGTTAATAACCTTTATGAAATAGATAAAGAAATGAATATGCAACAGAGCAGCCTGTTGAACCAATTAAAGAGACAGAAACATTTTAATTAAAAGGAGGTTGCAAAAAGACAGACTCAATAAATTACTACATTCAAAGGAGTAGAATGCTAACTAAATGCAACAAATAATCAGTTTGATTTATGAGACTGACACCAGAAAGAACCGCTTTGTGTCAGTCTTGTGTTTAGAGGATTTCAGTGGGACTCACGATCAAATCAGCACAGCTTTCAAGTCTCACCAGTAAAAGTAGGAATCCTTAATATATATCTTACCTTCACCAAGACATCCATTTAAAAATGTCTTCATGTATTACCAAATAGACCATGCAGTGAAATCCCTGCATTCATCTTAAGACAGTACTATCACTTAAATACTTATAAAATGTTACTACTGTTGCACATAATCGTGGCTATCACCATTCTAACCAACCTTGGATTTGGGAACACAGAATTGTTCTAGGTACTAGTTAGAAGGGTTTTTCAAATTACATTCAAAGCAGTTTTTTAATAACTATTTTTTTAATCAGGATCTTTTTCAATGACATCTGTCAGCTATTATTAGGAAATAACCAGAACAGTGTTATCAGTACCTGCACCTACACACAAAAAATATAAATAAAAGAATAAATGGAGATGTTCTTAAAAAAGAAAGGCAAAAATAAAAAGCCCAAACTCCTTCTGCTTTGCGTGTTGGGCTTGATAGGATTTGTTACCTAGAAGGCAGCTGTGGTTGTCTGTAGCTTGTAATACAGGTAAGCTGCTCATCAGTGGGTTGCAGATGGGTCATGTTGTTCATGGTGATATCTCACTTTAAGATCTTTCATGTTTCCCTCCTTTGGGTGGTTTGTCCACTGAAAGCTGGGGCACAGAGTTCTGGATGTGAGTGGCAGAGGAGAAGCACCGCTTTTCTTCCACATGGTCTTTGCTTTTATGGGCAAATTGTCTGCTGCTTTGCCGTTACAGACTACGTTCATGGTTTTAGGTCATTTGGGTGAATACAGTACAATACAGGTTTTGCCAGTATGACTCAACCGTCTCATAATGGACTATATTAGCTATAAATTATATTAGAAAATGTCATCCTTGAATCATCATTCCTTTGCAAAATCAGCAATATTAATCAGAGGTCATATACTCTTTCTAAAACAGGTATTGACTTGCAATCTAAAAATCATGAAGAGGAGCTTTATTGATACTCTTATCATTTGCCTTTTTTTCCTGTATTCTAGCTTTTCCAAATAACCATGTTATCACCACTCAGCTTTTTTTTCCCCTTCTTTTTTTCCTGCTATTAATTGATACCCACACATCTCCTTGTCCTTTCATACATCTTCTGTTTCTTTTGTCTGTTATTCAATGCTCATCTCTCCTCATTTACAGTTTTCCTCTCCTTTAAAGTTTAAAGCACTTTCAATGAAAATATTCCACTATAGGCCCTCTCTTAGCTTCTTTATTTTGCTGGCTCTCTCAAAAGCCAATAGTGTTCTTGGAGAGCTACTGTGCCTCTACACAGGTGGTCATTAGACTTTCCACTAGCAGAAGCTGTCCTTGACCATAAGCAGGGAGGGGCTAGATCCTTCTTGGGGCCAAACAGCTAAGTACCAGGTACAAAACTGGTAAGAGAGAGTTCCAGGAAAGGAGCTGGTTCTTGGAGATGCTGAAGGAGAAGAAAAGTTTGCAAGGCCCAAAGAGGCCCGCGTGGGATGACAGAATTAGGTATGATTTATTTCCTGGATATAGGAACAGAGCCACAAATGTACTTAGTTGCCTAACAACCAATATAGATGCCCACAGGTCCTTGGAATCACCGGGAAGTAAGCATTTAGATTAAAAAAAAAAAAAAAATTATAAAACTCAATAAAAGCAGGAGTACCCTAAATACCCTTGCAATATGGACCTACTCCTCGGTGCCTAGGCTTCTCACTCTTATTCAAAGCTGGTCTACATCAGAAAGCTCATCAGGCAGCACAGTCACCACTCAATGAAAATATATACATGTATTTATGCATATAAATAATACATGCTATACAGACTCTTTGGACTGTATTCAAACCAGCTATTCCAGGTGTAAAACTTAGCATCTAGTTACCTGCCTCCCTATGCAATCCATGAACAGTACTATTTATAACACCTAAGTAGTTAGAGTTAGTGCACATATGATCACTAGCGATGGGGACATACCCCAGGCCATCTTGTTCTTTGCCTACTTATCTTATCTATTCTAGAACATCCCTCAAAGATCCCCCCTGTCCTAATGTGTCCTGTCTTCCTGCAGTTTGCTTTGTCCTATCCCATTTTCACCGAGCCACTGAGCCAAAAACACTAAGAAGGAGACCTCATTGTGGCCTTTCAATACTTAAAGAGGGCTTATAAGAAAGATGGAGAGAGACTTTTTACCAGGGTTTGCAGTGGTAGGACAAGGGACAATGGTTTTAAACTGAAAGACGGTAGATTTAGATTAGATATAAGGAAGAAATTCTTTACCGTGAGGGTGGTGAGACACTGGAACAGGTTGCCCAGAGGTGTCATGGATGCCTCATCCCTGGAAGTGTTCAAGGTCAGGTTGGACAGGGCTTTGAGCAACCTGATCTAGTGAAAGATGTTCCTGCCCACGGCAGGGGTTTGGACCAGACGATCTTTAAAGGTCCCTTCCAACCCAAACCATTCTATGATTCTATGACACTATGAAGAATTTCCTTTCAAACTTTTTCCATAAGCAATGAGCTGTCGCCTCCAATGAAGTAAACTGATCAAGCTGGTTCAAGAGCTACTTCTCCCGAATTTAAAGGTCCAGTTCATCACGGCTCTAAATTCTGAGATTGAGAGCAGGAAAAATAGAGTTTCATGGCCAAGAAAAAAAATGTATCTTTAAGCCACTTTCTCACCCATTCTTACTGAAATTAGCTTTGCCCAGCTCCCGAGTTTCTATGCCAGAAGACACACACACACACTGGTGGTGTGTGCTGATTCTTTGCAGAAGTTGTCTGGTGAAGAGGTTCCCTTTGAGAGTTGCCAGTTTCTATCTCTGCAGATATGCTTCAAGCCAGTGCTCCCCAGAATTCTTCAGTGAACTGCAAGAACGGAAAGTAAAAAAAAATCGTTTACGGGGATGCAATATTCAACTTCATGGGAAAGAAACTGTAGTTTAGATGTGAAAAGTAGTAAATGGCAAAAATGGATTAAAAACTGCATGGATATCTCAAAGTCTGACTACAGGGAATGAATTGAGAAGACTTAAGGAAGAGAAAATAATCTTTGAAACTTTGAAAATTTTTGAAAATTAAAAGTGCCTTTAGAAAAACCTAAATAAACTCTAGGTTTGATCTCTCCGTGGATATTGATTTGAAATGGTTGCCTATGTCCCTCCCTTGCATGCTATTACAGTGAAAACTATCTTGTTAATTGATACTTACTGCAAAATGTCTAGAAAGGCTGTCAGTAAGGTCTTGCTTTTATATTCAATGCCATGCTTATCACAAAGGGCTTTCACCAGAGGAGCAGCTTTCCAGTAGTTGTGTCGAGGCATTGTGGGGAAAAGGCTGCAGAATTGAACGAGAGAGTTATTGTAAGACTTTGCTCTGTTCCCTCTGTTCAAAATATTTCCCTGCCCTCCCCTAGAAGGAGAGCAAAGGGTCTCCTGAATGGTTTCATGTGAGACTACATGGTCTTTCTCACTTTTAAGTGCCCCATATTATTCCCACTCTTCTCCCCATAATCATACTCACTGGTGCTCAATTTGGAAGTTCAAGTGCCCAGTGAACCAGTCATTGAACAAAGATTGGTTAACATTGCATGTTGCATGGAGCTGGGAGGAAAAAAGACCAAAGAAATACATGATTTAGCTTTTACTTTTCTGGAAGTCTGATAATTGAACCCCAGCAATTATTACCAACCCTCGTCTTGCAAAAAAAGGCAACTTAGCGTCAGGGATTATAGGTATCATTGCCCTGAAGAAATTAAACGAAGTCTAGATTGAAATGGGTTGTTGGGATACAGGTCAATTTAGCTAGCTCTTCACTCAGAAAGAACAACTCCTTCACTGGCATGCACACAACTCCAACTGTGGTTCTATTTAATACATCCTCCTCACATCTTTCACTTGGACGGAAAGAAAAGATGCCCAAAAAGAAACAAAAAACATTCTTCTGGCTTCCTCCAACCAGTACAAGTGGAGTCAGATGCAAAAGTACGAGGACAAACATTTGTGTACACAGGCTTCATCTCACCTAATTTAGACACCTTTAGTTTGAAAACTGCATCTGAGCTCATCACTTTAGAGTCAATGGAGAAAAGTAGACATTTTTACGGTGCCATTCATCTGACCTGATTTAGATATCTATTTCAGAGTAAGATGAATCATGCCTCAGAAATGGCTCTTTCTCTCCAATGAATGTAGCAGGTGTTCAGAGGTAGACATCCAGATCTGGTCAGATGAATACTAGGCCAGGTCTTTTTCCCTTAATATAAGGAAAAATGCTTAGAACCCACTATGTGGGATTATACTGCTGGAGGCAGTATAGATGTGAGTAAAGTTGTATTCACAGACTTATTTTTATCAGACCTAAATTTTGGCAGATCTATCTTATCTGCAGTAAACCTGTAAACTGTAGGGTAAAAAATAAAGGTATCCAGTCCCACTTTGCTTCTCTTTAGTTGGCCTAAAAAGGAGATTGACTGTTAGTCTATCAGTACTTTTTCATAATATGAAGGGAAAAGTGATGTGAAAAACGTGTCGAAACCTTTCAGTGAAAAAATAGGATTTTTTTTTTTAATCTAGATGTCCTGTTTTCCAACTAAAGTTTTAAATGTTGTGACTACTACAGAAATCCATGCCTATTTAACGAATGGCAAGGACAAACCTCATCAACACAGCATTAAAGCTAAGAGAAGAACAACGTTGTCTTTGTCCTATAATTCAGAACTGCAGACCCACTCTTCCAGCAGAAAGGAGATTCTCACCTGAGTAGATACCCAGTCTTCGTTCTTATCATAATCAATTTCCATTGGAATGTGATTCATCTGCGACACCCAAATAAACCAGGTACTCTCTAGGTACCTGGGCAGATAAAGACAGAAACACTTATCATATCTCTAATCCCATCCAAATTTACCGTTAAAACACTTTCCTGAGTCTCATCTTAAGCAAAAGAGCACTTTTACATAATTCAGGATTTTCTATTCCATTGCTTTGCCTCCTAACTTTTGGAGTTTCTTTTGAGAACCACTAAATTTGTAGTTGCAGCCACCCCTCCCACCCCAAGTTATACTGTTTCTTCTTGGTTGACTATTTATTTCTGAGAAAATTGTAGTGAGCATGACTAGTTTTCATTCATTACCATTGAAGCTCGATATTGTTTACAAATATTAGTCATGGGGACTCTGGGTATGCTGTGTGTTACCTGGACAGCCAGTAGTACACCATGAAATTGTTAAATCCCATTAAAGGAATATACATGAGACAGACTCGGATGTTAAAAGACACAATCAACAACAGGTCCTGTAAAAAAAAAACAACAACAAAATAAAAAAACAACAACAACAACAACAAAAGATGAAAATAAGCCTTTGTTGATCAACTCCCTTCACTCCCTTCCCTCCCCTTTACTTGAACTGCAGCATAAAAAATGTTCTTATTTATTTATCTCTTATTTTTCAAGAGTAAGCTCCACACCATCATTCTGCCTCAAGTTGAGTGTATCCCTGAAACATTCCTACAGCACTCACTTTACCATCAGTGACTAAAACCCAGCAAACAGCCCTGTAATCACACTCTGTCAAGGTCTGATAGTTTTCTGTTAACTTTTATTCAGCTGCGAAGAGGCTAAAAAGCCCCTCCTAAAAAAATTCTCCCTGGACCTGTTGACTAGATTCCTGCTTCACCAAGCCTAGAATCAGCCTTTTCTATCTGAAGCCCCAGAACCACCTGAGGAGAAGGTTAATATAGCCAGAGTGGCGAAATTCTTTGAAAGTCTTGTAGACCATGCAAGTAGTGCTTACCAACCACTTTTTCCTCTTGATTGCAAAGTAGAATATAGACAGCTGGAAGAAGGGTATAAGTGCAAGTGGGGCCAATACTGAAGGAAAGAATGAAAACGGAGAGACATTTATAACTTCACGGCATCATAAATCTTACAGAATATTTGGTGGGGCGGGGGGAACAGTTCCGCTAAAAGATTCTTCTTTGCAGTGGAATAAAAAAATTGCTGTCTTCCATTTACACTAACTTTCGTGTGTCCACATAATCTGTTCCGCTTTTCATCTCAGCACCCTTCACTTCTTC